TATATACACATATATTGCTGAGATCCTTATTAATTGACCAAACATCGATGAGATGTTGAAATGTTTCTTTTCGAGCACTTCCATTTATTATCATTTTTTCGCTTAAAGATAAACTTCATCTGAGTGAGATTCTCCTAGGTGATATGATTTTGATTAAGGTTACTTTGAAGTTTCATACAGAATATTAAAACTGGCTGTTTCGCAGACTTATGACAGAAGGTTTTATGCACAACCCTCTTTGAGATTGAAAACTTTTCTAGATTACCAATGTTTTTAAGATAATGCTTCACACATTAATATCCCTAATCATTGACAGAAACTTTGGAATTTTATACAGAGCGGTCAAATGGTGCATTGTCATTGTTCAGTTAGAGTGTTTTCATTAGTTGCCCCTAATTGTCCCTGATATAACATCTATATGTTTTATTTGTTCCTTACATCCTCAATTTCTGAGGAGTGAGGATTGTTTCCACATTTCTTTAGCTTTTTGCATGAGTTGATGGCATGCAAGTGTGTGTAACAGGAAGTATTGTGACTCTTTCATTTTATTATTCTCTCGTTTCTCTATGGATTTCTGAATTCACATGAAATACTATGCTTGATTGAGATGTATGTCAAATTGTCCATTGCAAATGGAGCTGGAAGAGCCATTGTTGACAATTCTCCTAGCATAGTGCTAATAATGGACTAGATCAAAATGGCTCAATTAAATTCTAGTGTTGCTATTAGTGAAGGTTCTAGAAAAAAAAAAAAAATATCAAACGGCGCAATGCACCTTGGGTCGCTACGGAAACAGCCTCCTTATATAATTACAAGTGTAAGGTCTGCGTACAACTGACCCCCCAGACCCCAACCTGTTGGGAATATACTGGGTATGTTGTTGTTGTTGTTGTTGTTGTTGTTGTTGTATTGAGATGTATGTCAAACCGAGTAGATTAGACTTTCTGTAGGCTGGAGCCTGGAATTGGTGGGGGCCCTTTTGATGTATAAACTTTTTAAGATAGCATTTTAATACTCAACAACAGCCTCATTCTCCCCATTTTCAATAACAATGATATGATATCTGGATTACTAGCCGAAATGATTTTACTTCTCTTCTAGGCCTCAGGTGCCCTCATGTGAAATGAATTTGAACTTGATTAATAATTTTTGTGGACTTGAAGCATGATTATCTCGATGCATGACCATAAGGTGACCCAGAGATCAGGTTTTCCCTAATTAAGAAAAAATGAAAAGTAAGATTCTTTCCATCCAAAAGCAATTGTGATATTGACCCGTGAAGCATCCATCATTGGTTTATTTTTATTTTTTTACATTATCTTTGTATTTGATAATAATTGAAGAGAAAACACTAAAAAATTGAAAATAGTACTATTTTGAATCCTCAACTAATATTACAATATGCTGTTTCCCCGGCTTGATATTTGAATGTGGAGGCTATGAAAAAATCTGTCTTGTTATTGTTTCCAACAGAAAATCTTCAGTTTTTCCATGTTTCTAGTTCCTTTATGTGCTCTCACGCACCGAAACATTTGTTTTCACGGTAAACTAAATATTCTTTCTTCTTTCTGTTTGGGTTTCAGTCCGTGTATCCCACTCAGTAGTTTTTCATGTGATTAACTGACTCTGACAGGTGGACTCTACAAATAACTTGCCTCTCGATTGTGTTATAAGGAGGGTATTTAAAAATTCCCGGGGAGATGAATGCATGCTGCTCTGCCCAGTTGATGCGTAAGTTACTGCAAGATCATCACGAGTCAATGATTCTCTCTGGTAGAACAAAAAGTTAACTAAATGATTATTTGCAGACCTGTTGAGATTATGAAGAGTGTCAATGTTGAAGGATGGTCTGCTGTAAGTCTTTACTCCTATCCAATGTGTTTATTTAGTAATTTAAAAGTCTATTTTGTATTGGCTCTTATTAGCCACTTATTGTTATTTTGTTCTAAATGGTTTCTAGGTAAATATAAATGCTACTCCTCACATTTAGCCTAATTCCAAAAATACCTTGTCATCTTTCAATATCGAAAGTATCATCTTGATGTGTTACGAATGCCCCTACTGAGGTTTGGGTTTGTTATATGACTACCCACCTTAATATACAAAGTTCGAAAATGAAAATGTCAAGGGGTTTGTCTATTCATAGTTTTGAATGATGACTGCATCTGTGTTGTAAATCTGGACCTCGGGAGCAGTTTCTTTGGGTTACCCTAGTTTTTAAATTCAAAGATGCAGTGTTGTGGAGAGGTGTATACATTGGTAGCTTCAGCTTCATCTATCTTTTTAGCTCGATTATTAATGGCAAGAGTTACTTTGTCTTTAGCGTTCTTTTATCTAACCTGACATCTGGATTGGTTCAGATATTATATAGTGGGAGGCATAACACATAAGATAAATATAACTAGAGCAGCGTAGTATATACTAGTTAGACTTAATATAACTAGAGCAGCGTAGTATATACTAGTTAGACTTTCATTAGCAGACACATCTGACAACAGCTGCATAATTATCTCCACAATTGTAAAAGAAGCTAGTTAGATATTTTAAAGCGACTTTACTCTTTCTTGCTCCATAAATATCCTATTAGAATGCAATTCACTTTTTAGCAATATTGAGAGTTCATTTTCTCGTTCTTAATAATATTGCATTGTTCCTTGCTACTTATTCTTGTAATCGTAAATCAAACCTTTGAGCCCCATTTTCCTTTGTAGGTTAGTGATCAAGAACTTGAGGCTATCCTTCCAACTGCATCTTATGCACTAGCCAAAATACATATGCATCTTGTGTGCAGTGGGTATGATGCAGCATAAGTTGGTTTCAAGCTTCATTACTTATAAGTTCATTCTCTGAATCACACTCACAACATACTGTTTTTATGATTCCCCATGTTAAAGTTTGTGTCCTCTACTGCCATCAGATTTTGCTTTACTGCACGAGGTGGTTTTTGCTACAGTGAGAATGCTATATTTGAATATCAAATGGGTACAACATTCTTTTGTTATCTATTTATCTTGGGATTGAAATTTCTATTTTTTGCCCTTCTGGATCATAGTTGGCTGTAATTAGCTGCAATTCTTTTGGACTTTGTAGGTGTGCACTAATGTTACCCCATATTTGCATGCTTAGGTGGCAATTGGTTATAAAATATTTTCATTTTTGTCTGTTCAGTCTTGTCAATATTTATCTCATTGAAACAAGAAATAAAACCAAAGATTTTCACCAAAAATGCTATTCATTTTACCTCTCTTTTTTCTCTACAATCCGACTAATACATTGTAAAACAAAAAGTTATTATTATATATATTCCAACAAAAAACACTGTTCATTATCTCACATATTTATAACTATCAATTTATCACTCAATATTTTATTATTTTCATATCACATCAACTTTAAGTATTACATTTTTTCTTATATCAATTCAATCTAAAATCTATCTCACTTTTTTAAAATTAACTTTCACGTTTTTTTATCTGTATTTTCGAAAGAGACTAATACTTTCGAAAGATTCTTAGGTTCTCTGAAAATATTGTGTCGTCTATGTATAATGAGGCCAGATATTTTTATTATTGAAATATTTCTATTGGGATCACATCATGTATATTTCTGTTTCTTGAATGAATAATGACCTTCTATGCCTTGATATGTTGAAATTGCTCATGTATGTTGATTACCATCTTTTGAGAATGTAACTCACAGGATTAAACTAAAGGCACTTTCACCCCGAATCTACATGGGTTGTCATTTCGTCTTTATAATTAAACTTTTCTTTTTTTCTGGTTTTCTCTTAATGTGTAGGTTCAGTGCCTGACTAAAATGATTCTCTTTAACAGTGTACTTTACACTGTTTAATTATAAGCTTTCCTCAAAAGCCATGTCTCTGCCACAAACTTGTTAATGGGAAAACATTTCTGCGCTTATGCAGATAATAGGGAAGATGGTTTGCCAGCTGAAGGCGTTGAAATTACATGCTTCAATGTGGTAATCTATTAAGTCCATTTCAGTGATTACATGCTTCAATGTGATAGCCTGGTGATGACTGTTTGTGCTATATTGCGACTTGTTAAAAATTTCCCATCGAAATTCACAAGCTTTGAAGCATTTACTACTTTCCTGCAGATTTTGCGGGCTTTGGGAGATAAATTTAATCACTACTGCCTAAGACACTTCCTTTCTAATAACATCTTATGTTGATATTTCTTCTGATCTCATGTCTTTCTTGTGTAGGATGGTTCGCACTATATGATTTACACGCCAGCGGACCCTCTTTTGTTTGTTGCAGTGAAGGTAAATATAAGTAAACTTGTTGCTGAGCATAATTCAATGGTTTTTCTAACAATATCATGCTTATCCATCTCAAAGTGTTTTTCGCGAAAATTCAAATTGAACTTATCGTGCCTCATGTAAAATTAATATACTCGGTCTCTTGTTGCAGGATGAAAATGGTGTATTACAAATAGCTGATGATGTAAGAGAATTGAATTTTTTTTTATGTTTCGTTATCTTACTCTTTCTAAGAGTTGGATGTGTTGAAACCTATCAATTATCCATTTAAACAGGAACTCTTGGAGGATCCTGCTGTAATCAGTGCCATAGATGAAGAGACTGAATTCAATGCCTTGGTGGTATGTATGCACGACTAGTTGATCTTAGTAAAGCTTTACTAATTATTCTTCACGCTTACATTTTTCATATTTGTAGGAAGAAGAGACTGCTCTACTTGATTCGGTAATGGGGAACATTTGACACAGGTAAAATGTATTATCAGCCGTCAGAAGAAGGTTATGACTGTCAAATTCATATCTGTAGGTTCCAGATGATAGGTGTAGATATTGTGTTCACCGTAAATTTATTTTTGATCTAAAAACAATTTAAGGAATTTGCTCCTCCATCATTTCCAAATTTTTTCCTGGTGCATTAATTTTATCCAAGAGCGCATTTACATGCAGTGTTCACCTTATTCTATTCCAATTCTACCTTAAGTCTGTCAGCAAGGCAACTAATGTTTAGGAAAAAAAAAGAAGAAGAAGAAGAAGAAGAAGAAGAAGAAGAAGAAGATTGACGAATGTAGGAGACGTTTTGCTGTTGAATTCAATTTGTTCCGATCATTTCGTTGTACAGATGCAATGATTTTTTCCGCACCCAAAATGACTTAACCCATACCACGAGTATTGCACTCAATTAATTTAAGCCAATGAGATCCATTGTTGCCATAAGGCATTTAGATGTTCAAATAACTTGTGTGACTATTTAACATTCCACTTGGTCAAGGGAAAGGATACACAAATGGAAATAATAATCATCCAACATTGTTGACTAGTTCGGACACTAATTGAATTTCGTAAAATGAAATTGTGCTCGAACAGTATTTTAAATACCAGCGATCATATCGGATGAGCCATCGGTGCACAGTTTAACTGGTCTAATTGGTATTACTGTCTATTTTATAGGTTTTAATAAATATTAAATTAATTTATTCTTAAAATATAAATAATGTATAAAACTAATTCTAATAAATATTAAAATTAGGTGTAGAACTTTTAATTTATACAAATAAATTAATAAAAATATACTAAAAATATTTTTTTCTAAAAATCCGGTATAAACTGGTATTTTGACCAGTATTTTGGCCGCTATTTCCCGGTAAAATCAGTATTTTGATATGAAACCGGTATAAAGAGGTATTTTGGGCAAATGATACTTAGAGGGTAATCGTACCGGCCGGATCACAGGTATTTGGTATTATTTGTACTTCTTGCCGGTGTGGTACGGTATATTAAACATTAATCGAAATTATACCGACTCTGATTGTGGAAACTGCATTTGTTTATGATAGAACCCTGATAATGCAAATTTACTTCCCAACTTGCAAAAATTAAAACCATTCTTTAAGACATCATCAAGGATGAAAATTTGAACATTGGACACCAAGAGAGGACTCGGAATGTCAAAATATATATCATCTCAAACACAAGTGACTAAAATTACTTTTTTCCTTCTTATCAGTGCTAATTGGCATAGAGATCTCTAATGTTGATCTCATGTTCTTAATAAATACTTTAATAAGTATTTTTAATTTATAAATATTAATAAATATCTATTATCTGTGAAACGCACGGAGTTCATACTTGTTGAAATATAACTAGATAGTCTTTCGAAAAAATTTGAAAAATAGTTAAAAATCTCTAAAACTCCAAACTGAACTGAAACATTTGGATAGTTCTGAGTGGCGTATTCTAAACGCAAAGCCCAATTGAAATTAGGGCACTGGATCCACTTGTACTTTCTTACTTATTGTTTCTTTTCAAGTATGTGAATGTGGAGAGGAAAAAATAGTAATACTCATTATTGACTCTTTCTTAATTAATATGTCCTTGTAACATGTCATCTTCATCACTCTCTCATACACATTGGTACACACAGTGGCGAAACCAGGATCCCAGCACGGGGAGGGCCCAATTTGTCTTTAAAAAAAATTTTCACGACAAAACCAAACACAAACACAAAAATAAATGCAAACTATTTAAATTATCGTTCAAATAACATTATACAAAATAAAAATACAATCTAGCTTCCAACCAAGGGGGAACTAATAAGATCGGCACGCGGTAACTGAAATCTTCGGGACGCCATGTTCTGAAATCTCTGCAAAATGACTTCATTTTCAATTTTGATAAAGATTTCCTTTTCAATGTAGCACACCAAGCTATCCGTCAAAAAATCCTCTCCCATTTTGTTGCGCAAATCATTCTTGATAATCTTCATCGAGGAGAAAGCTCTTTCAACAGTAGCAGTTGCGACGGGCAAAACTAGTGCCAACTCAATGAGCCGATAAACTAACTTAAGAGCAGTGTGCCACTTTCTCTCAACCATTCTTTTTGCAAGGTTTCCAATACTTTGAAGATCAGAGAAAAATGCACGCTCATGTATTGTGACTATCGAGATGTAGTGATTCAATTCTTCTTTCAGTTTGAACTCATCATCAAAATCATTTGGATATAATTGAGCGAGACGAAGCAGTCTTTCACGATCAAAGCTAGCGAAAGAATCTCTAGGATCAAGACAGACTATGCACGAAATAAGTTCCGTACTCAACTCTCCAAAACGATTAGCCATCTCTTGTAAGATAAGATCAACAACCTATTAAATTGAGAAAAATAAGCTAATTATTAACACTATAATAAACATAAAAAAA